CATTGAGGTTTTTGAATGTTTGTGTGTAAGCCTTTACTCAAGCTTGGGAAGTGTTCGGCCATTGTGTCTTCAATATTCTACCTGCCCCTTTCCCTTCTCTCTTCCTCCGGCACTCTCATAATTATTCCATTGCAACACCTTCAGGTTCACCAGAAAGAAAATGGAAATCACTGAGGCTGAAGAACAGGAAGAAAAAAAGACGGAAGAAAAGTGAGCAGAGCCTGTGAGAGTGCCGGAGGAAGAAACATTCTTCCTTCTTCTGCTCAGCTCTGCCTTCAGGTCCTTCACGGGTAATTTCTCATTTCAGTAATAGTACATTCAGATCCAGAATCTGTTTCTTGTTTCTTTTTAGGTTTTCTACCTCTTTTTTTTATATTTTCATTTTGTTCACACAACATTTTATTGAGTTTCTCCATATTTTCCTTTAGTTATTTGAGCCTTTTTAAGACAGTTGTTTTAATGTCTTTGTCTAATATACCTGACATTAGATCTTCTATGGGGACAGCTTCTATTGATATATTTCTTTCATTTGAAGGCCATGCTTTCCTGTTTCCTTGTATGCCTTGTCATTTTTTTGTTGAGCACTGGACATTTGAATCTAATAATGTGGTAACTTTGGCAATCAATCAGATTCTCCTCCTTTCTCAGGTTTTGGTGGTTATTGTTCTTATTCTTAAAAAAAAAAAAAATCATTGTAGGCTCTCTCTGTGTTGAGGGTCAGCCTAAAGCATAAACTTAAGGTCTTCTTGGGTCTTTTCTGAGCCTTTTCCTTGGCACACACAGTTACTTTCTAATTTTCTCCATATATGCTGTTGTTTTTTAATGTCCTAGTCTTTAATGTTTAGTTCCCAAAGGGGGTAAAAAAGAGAGAGAGGAAGAGGAAGAAAGAAGAAAGAAAGAAAGGAAGAAAGAAAGAAAGAAAGACAGAAAGAAAGGAAGAAGAAAAGAAAAGAATAAAGAAAGAAAAGAAAAAGAAAAGAAAAGAAAAAAGAAAAAGGAAGACTGCGGGGAGAGCTCTGGGAAGGCAGCCCGAGCTCTCAGAGGGAGAGGATTTGCAGCAACGAGGGAGCTGCAGGGACTGTGGCTGCCTCCTCCTTGTGTGCACTTCTCGGATCCAACACAGCCATCAGCTACAGCCTTGTTTAAATAAGCCCCAAAAGGTGGGAAGTGGAACAAAGAAGAATGAAAAGCAAAGGGAATAAATGATCAATAGGTTATTGATTAGTAAGCCTATATGCAGATGATCCATACTAACATTAAGTGCACACAATCTAAACACATTAATTAAAAATCAGAGATTGTCAGGATGTATTAAAAATAAATGTGCCTACTATAAGAAACTCAATATATAGTTATTTATGCGAGTTACGTTACATACAAGATACAGAGTAAGACAGGAAAGACAAATTCCGGGACGATTTATTCGCTCATTCAC